TGATCCAATAATGACTTGAAAAATAATAACGATCCTCATGAAAAATGTTATAGTCGAACTAAATCTAAATCTTCATTACAGTCTGGTTTGGACATTCCTGGAGACGGGTGTGTGTGTGTGTGTCCTGAGAAGGGTGGCGTTTGGGGAGGGGAGGGGCCTCAGCAGGATGTTATGCCATAAGAGTCCCACCTCCCAAAGCAGCCATTTTCTCCAGGGGAACTGATCTCTGTCGCCTGGAGACCAGATTTACTTCCAGGAGATCTCCAGCCACCACCTGGAGACTGGGACACCTGTGCTGTGTCGCTGTTGCCACTGCTGCCGGCCAGGACAGGGAAGAGGGAAACACAGATGGGCATGGGCCCAGACTCGGTTACCGTGCTCCAGATAGGACTTGAAGGTCCTCCTGGCATTCCAACTGGTCTCCAGCCTACCGAGATCAGTTCGCCTGGAGAAAATGGCAACTTCAGAGGGCAGATTCTATGGGAGGGGTGGCCAAACTGTGGCTCGGGAGCCACATGAGGCTCTTCCACACATATCGTGCGGCTCCCAGCAGGGTAGCTGGGGGAGCGAAGCGGAGCCACGCTTTCCCTCCCTTCCATCTATTTACTTTCTTTGTTTCTCTCTCTCTCTCTCTTTCCACCTCTTTCCTTCTTTCTTTCCACCCATCTCTCCTTCTCTCTCTCTAGGACAAACAAATAAATATCATTGGACAAATAAGTATCGTTATCACTATCTGTTTTTACCCCCTTTGTTTTTATTTTTGGCAGTCTCGTGTAATGTTAATAGAAAGCAAATGTGCCTATTTTTAAAATAAAAATGTGTGTAGTATTTGTTTATGTCTTGCGGCTCTCAGACCTCTGACGTTTATTCTATGAGGCTCTTACACTGAGCAAGTTTGGCCACCCCTGTTCGATGGCATCACATCCCGGCTGTGCTCCTTTCCCTCCCCAAACTCTGCCTTCTCCGGGCATCAGCTCCAAATAGGGTTTCCAGGTCTGATTGTCACACCGGCAGGGGGATTGGGGGGTGTTCCAGGAGTGGGCGGGGACGTTGCTCGACGTGCATGCATTACCGGGAAGTGACAGAGACACGCCGGTGACGTCGGGGGCAATGTTCTGGTTTTGGGTAAAACTCTATGGTAAAATCAGGGCTTTTTTTGTAGAAAAAGCCCAGCAGGGACTCATTAGCATAATAGGCCACACCCAACAGCAGAACCTCATTAGCCTATTAGGCCACACCCCATGCCTTCACTTGGCTTGCCTGGGAGGCTGGGGAAGGCACAGAGAGGCATTTAAATGCCTCCCCGATCCTTCCAGGGGCCCCCTGGACCGCCCGCCTCAGAGTCACAGGGGTGTGTGTGTCGCTCTCCAGGCCTTCCCTCTGTAGACTCGCATGCAGAGGTTTTGGCTGTAGTGGGCGTGGCCAACTCTGAAGCCAGCCGGAACTCCGTTCCTGTGTGTTCCTGCCCAAAAATAGCCCTGGGTAAAATCACCCTCAAACCACAGAGTTTTGCCCAAAAAACCGAGCATCTACCCCCCCCCCCAACGTCACTGATGTGCCCACATCACTTCTGGGGGACGTCAGCTCGTCACACACAACGTCACTGTTTGGGGGTAGGGAGAATTTCCTCCTGCCAGCCAGCTGGTCTCCGATGGGCAGGAGCCTGTGAAAACAGGGGATCCCCCACCCCCACTTGGGAAATGGTACCCCTACCCCCAAATCTCCAGGAACGTCCCAGGCCAGAGTCCACAGCCCTAACCAAAAACCACCTTCCCCCAAGAACCTCAGCTACAAGAAGACCAATACGCTGTCATCTCCCATATATCTCCCATTCAACATTAACGAATTTCTCTTTCTGAACGTTTGTTCCTTTCGCTCCGGAAATTCTGGGCCATGTGCCCGTCCAGATTTATAGCCACCGTTGTAGCTTCCCCACCCGCACCCCCTACAATGCATTTTATTAATCAAATGTAAATTTGGGTGACCTGCGATTTATGTGTCTGGCGACATTGTGGCTCGACGATGGCAAAAAGAGAAATAAATACCATTTAGCAAAGTGATTTTTTAAAAAAAGCGCCCGTTGCATTTTGTTTGGCCTTTTTTGTCGCGTCGTTCCTCTTTGTCAGCACAGAAGCAAGAGCCGGCAGCTTTTCTTGTCCAGTCATGGTGCAGTGTTTTGCTAGGGAATGAGATGCACTTTCCAGGCAGGCGGAGAAAGAACGGAATGCTACAAACGTGTTTGTTTAGGCTTGTGACTCGCGCGATCCAAGTGGAGAACAAGACATTTGTGAAACTGTTGGTGAAATCCCATCCTGTCTAACCCATTTGAAAGGAGAGATGATTTCAAATGCTTCCCAAAGATGCGTAAGATGGGAGTACAAAGGGACCCATGCTCCCTCAGGGATGAATCTCTGTCGAGTTAACCCACGTGGGCTACTGAGCCAATGTTCCCTCTAAGCTGCGGAGTCTTGTGAACAAAAATTCTACTTTGTGAGCCACTGGCATTAAACTTGTTGAGCGAGGGATTTAGATACTGCATAAATCAGTTTGCTCTGGAGCCCTCCTTCCTGAGCTAAGACAAAAATGTGTGAGCTGGAGGCTAAAAAACTGTGAGCTAGCTCACACTAACTCAGCTTAGAGGGAACACTGCTTGGGACACCGCCATGGGGAGATCAGGTTGCCAAATCTGTTTGGGGAAATTCCTGGATAATTGGGGTGATGTCCGGGGAAGGTGGAGTTTGGGGAGGAGACGAAGCTCAACAGGATGGGTGCCATAGAGCCCTCCATACCTGCCATTCCCCCAAGGGGAAACTGATCTCTGTAGTCTGGAAGTCAGTTGTAATTCAAGGAGAACTCCAAAACCTACCAAGGGGTTAGAGCCCGTTTGTTGTAGTGGTTAAGAGCAGTGGGCTCTAATCTGGGCAACCTGGGTTTGATTTCCCACTCCTCTACATGCAGCCAGCTGGGTGGGCCAGTCACATTTCTCTCAGAGCTGTACTGGAAAGAGCAGTTCAATCACAGTTCTCTCAGCCCCACCTACCTCACAGGAGAGACTTAGGGCTAGGGATGCCAGCCTCCAGGTGGGACCTGGGAATCTTCCGGAATTTCAGCTCATCTCAAGATTACAGAGATCAAACCCCCTGGAGAAAATGGATGCTAAGGAGAGTGGACTTTATGGCACTGGACCCCACTGAGAGCCAGTTTGGTGTAGTGGTTAAGAGCGGCAGAGACTGATCTGGAGAACCGGGTTTGATTCCCCACTCCTCCACATGCAGCCAGCTGGGTGACCTTGGGCCAGTCACAGTTCTCTTGGAGCTTTTCTCTCAAGAGCAGTTGTCTTGGAGCTCTCTCAGCCCCACCAACATCACAGGGTGTCTGTTGTGGGGAGAGGAAGGGAAGAATGTTGTAAACCGCTCTGAGACTCCAAGTGAAGGACAGGTTATAAATCCAACTTTTCTTCTTCTTCCTCCTCCTCCTCTTTCTCCTCCTCTTCTTTCTTTCTTTCTTTCTTTCTTTCTTTCTTTCTTTCTTTCTTTCTTTCTTTCTTTCTTTCTTTCCTTCTTTCTTTTGATTTATATCCTGCCCTCCCCTCATAGCGGGCTCAGGGTGGCTTCTTCTTCTTCCTCTTCCTCTTCTTCCTGTCCTCCCCAGGCTCCATTCCCAAATCTCCAGGAATTTCCCAACCTGGATCTGACAACCCTCTCCCCCCATCCCCCACCGGTAGTCAGGGGGGACCTGGCAACCCTACTTAGGGCTCTGCTTGATCTCAGCCAGTGTGAGCACATCAGGATATCAGGTGTGTGTCTTACACCCATTGTCACCTCCTGGGTTTATGCCACCACCACACAGGTCTGAGGTGAGCCCCACAAAGCACTGCCGGCACCACCGGGGGCCCAGCTTATTCTCGCAGCTGAAGGTGTATCTGTGTGGAGTGGCGAACAGCGGTGCATTGGCCCAGAACAGGAGACCTAGTTCTAACTAGCAGTGATGGTAAATTTTGGAAAGCCCCGAGTGCCTCCAAACCCACATAACCCTCTTCCAGATTTTGACTCTTACAGAAAAGGGAGAGCAAAGAAAGGCTTCATTCTAAGTGTCCGTGGTTCCTGTTGTCAAAAGTCTTCTGAATGTGCCGGAAGACTCTGTTGCCAACAGGAACTCTGGGAACAGCGTGCATGTTATTCTTCAACAGTGGTATGCTGTTCCTCAACATCACCATAAAATATGCTTCAAGGTGCCGTCAAGTTGCAGTGGACTTATGGCAACTCCAGCAAGGGACTTCCAAGACAAGACAAGAAACAGAGGTGGTTTGCCATTCCCTTCCTCTGCAGAGTCCTCCTTGGTGGTCTTCCATCCAAGTACCAACCCTGCTTGGCTCCCAAGATCTGACAAGATCAGGCCATACCATGCCACCTCTCACCCCATGAAATCAGTCAATATTATTCTCCCCGAATTGCAGCAGGGCTGATGCTTGAAGAAGGGAGCTTTGCTAGTGGATAGCCAGGGAGTACATAACTCAAACATGACTGGCAGTTTTCCTGACTCACAACCAGAGGTCATTTCGGGGGGGATCGCGGGGGATCGCAGTTCCCCTGGGTGAGGTATGGGAGGCGGGGCACATGACGAAGCCCCGCCCCCTGCTTCCAGCCGCCCCGCTTCCGGCCCTCATTCAGCCAGGAGGAGGCAGGAGAAGAGGGAGCGTAAGTTGCTTCCTCCCCGCCTCTCCCCATCCCTGCCTGCCTGGGGCCAGGGAGGGCCTTGGCGGGGCTTCCTCGCACTCCCGCTGGCATTGCAGGTCCACCGCCGGGCCCCTGATGTCAGGGTGTGTGGCATATGCTAATGAATTATGCTAATGAGTTCCCCTAGCTCTTTTTCTATGAAATGACCCCTGCTCACAACACATTCTCTTAACCACGGTGCCTGCCACACCCGCTTGGATGCGTCTGCAGTTCCCTTCCTTCCTTTGTGGCTTATTGCCTCCTTCTTGTTCTTCACAGGTATGGCAGTGTGGAGGAAGCATGGAGGTGCTGCCGTGCTCTCGGGTGGCGCATATCGAGCGCACAAAGAAACCGTACAACAACGACATTGATTACTATGCAAAGCGCAATGCCTTGCGTGCCGCTGAAGTCTGGATGGACGACTTCAAGTCACACGTTTACATGGCATGGAACATACCAATGACGGTAAGGAAGAGGAGGAAATGATTCTGGAAGGATGTGAGGTTTGGAGTTAGGTTTGCCAGCTCTGGGTGGGAAATTCCTGGAGAGTCGGGGGCAATGTTCCCTCTAAGCTGAGTTAGCGTGAGCTAGCTCACAGTATTTTAGCCTCCAGCTCACAGCTTTTTGTCGTCGATCAGGAAGGATGGCTCCAGAGCAAACGAATGTATGCAGTAGCCCAATCGCTCACTCACAGCTTTAATGCCAGTAGCTCACAAAGTAGAGTTTTTGCTCACCTGAGAGGGTGTATTGGTCGGGGGTGGAGCCTGGGGAAGGTGGGGTTTAGGAAGGAGAGGGACCTCAGCAGGTGTAACTTCATAGAGGGCTCCCCCCCCCAAAAAAAACCTGTTATCTCCAGGTGAACTGATTTCTGTCATCTGCAGATCAGTTGTAATTCCAGGAGATCTCCGGCCCCCACCTGGAGGTTAGCAACAAAAGAGAGATACATGCAGGGCTTTTTTTATAGAAAAAGCCCAGCAGGAACTCATTAGCATAATAGGCCACACCCAACAACAGAACCTCATTAGCCTATTAGGCCACACCCCATGCCTTCACTTGGCATGCCTGGGCAGGCCCCCACTGGGAGGCTGGGGAAGGCACAGGGAGGCATTTAAATGCCTCCCCGATCCTTCCAGGGCCCCCCTGGACCGCCCGCCTCAGAGTCACTGGGGGTGGTGGTGTCGCTCTCCAGGCCTTCCCTCTGTAGCCACGCACGCAGAGGTTTTGGCTGTAGTGGGCGTGGCCAACTCTGAAGCCAGCCGGAACTCCGTTCCTGTGTATTCCTGCCCTAAAATAGCCCTGGATACATGGATGAAGTGCATGCAAAAAGAAAGGAAAAAACCTCCATATAAATAAACTTCCAAGAGTACTTGAAGCACTAAATATAGTACTCACAAATCAGCAAGTGTGCGTGCCCACGAGAGCTCATACCTTGAATAAACCTTGGTTGGTCTTAAAGGTGCCCCCACTGGACTCTAAATTTGTTCTACTGCTTCAGACTAACATGGCTGACCACCTGGGACCATATTTCAAGATTTATATTGCAATTGGTTTGTATGTCATTGCTGGCTATGTATATAATTTCTGAGTTGTGCATTTAGTGCTTTGAGTACTTTTGGAGGTTTATTGATATGGAGGAGTTTTCCCTTTTCTTTTTGCACCCACCTGGACGTTAGCAGTTCTCTTTGGGGTGCTTTTTATTTGACTGGTATCTCCTCACATAAATAGGCCAATGTGCATTTGGCATGGGGGTGGGGCTAAGAATGACTGCCGGTGTAATCTGAGAGAAAAAGGTTGGGGGCTCAGTTGGAACCAGATCCATAGAAAGATGGGCCCAGAAGTGCAGAGAGGACAGGCAAATACATATTCTTCATGAGTCAGCTGTTGAACGGTAAGAATTGTTGGCAACGGGAAGTCATTTGTTAATTTCCCTAATAAGAAAGTTCACAGTGAAACACTTCCCTGATTGCAGAACTCAGGATAGAATCTATGACAGTCTTTCCGCATCCTATATGAAAAAAGACAAAGACCAGGTTTATTGAATATAAAGTAATTAACACCTGTAAGCTGTATAAAAGGAGAAAGATAAGTAACCCAAATTGTTGGGAAGGTCGTGGTCATTTGGGTGATTTTTTGCATGTTTGGTGGGGATGTGATGATATTAAGGTCTTTTGGGGACAGATCTTAGCTGGTTATGACTTACCCTGCCTCCCAGAGACGGTATTGCTGAATTGGTGGTCAGGGGATCTAGTTAACAGAACAAAAACAGAAACAATCTCTTTATTATTGGTGGTAGCATAACTAGCTATAGCGATGCACTGGAAAAAAAATAAGACAGTGCCTGCATTACAATCCTGGAGAATATGTTTATGGGACTACTTCAGTCTAGGGAAATGGACAACATATGGTTCTCAGTCGCTATCATGTAAGAATTATGAAAGATTTACGAAACTGTGGTACCCCATAATACAATAACTCTCAGAAAAGGGGATATTACCTAGAAATCCACATTATCATAACTTAATATACTTTCGAATTAAATCTACTTACCTGATTCAGCTAGGGCAATCTCACACTGGAGACCTTCAAATGCTTAGAGGGTGATAGATAAGGAGTATAGAAAGAAGGCATATCGAACTAGATTGAACATCTGGTGGGCATAATTGTTGGGGAAATGTTGTTAATTTAAATTTGTTACCTACTTCTTGCGTAGGACAGGCAAACACCACAAGGCTTTTGTTGTTTCTTGGATTTGCTTAACGTTTGTAATTATGTAGCCCAGATATATGGTTGTGTTGTTTGTTTTGCTATAGAAATTGTTCAAAATAAATTAAAAGAATATACAGGTAATATCCAGCAGGAGTCTATTGCAGTGCCTTTGAGACAGTGCTTTGAAGAGGACTGTTGCCTGGGCGGATTGGCCATTAAGGCCACCAGGAAAAGTCCTGGGGAACCTTTCACCTTGGAGGGGCCTTTCCCCCCCACTGTGGCCACCCCGTTCCCAGGCAAGGGCCAACACAGTCCACCAACATGAGCCCGCAGCCCTTGCACCACACCATGAAGGATATGCTCAGACTTGCTCCCAATTGGGGTGGGCCTGGGGGAACTGTCCATTTCAGGGCCCTTGTTTTTGTCCCAGTCCGGCCCTGGGTGTTGCAGCTAAATGAATGTACAAACACTGGCAGAACACCAGAATAGTTAGTTTCCCATGTCAAGTGTCTCTTTCATAAACGGGAAGGTACCCTGTGCATAGGAGCTGCAGTGGCTCAAGTGGTTAAGACGCTGAACTGCAGGCTGTGGAAGGTCGGTAGTTCAGCAGTTCAAGACCCGAGTTGCCGCATGACGGAGTGAGCTCCTGTCTCTAGTTCCAGCTGCTGCCAACCTAGCAGTTTGAAAGCAAGACATTGCAAGTAGATAAATAGGTACCACTTCGGTGGGAAGTTAACAGCGTTCCGTGCGCCTCGGTGTTTAGTCATGCCGGCCACATGACCACAGAAATGTCTTCAGATAACGCTGGCTCTTCAGCTTTGAAACGGAGATGAGCACCGCAACCCTAGAGTCGGATTCGACTGGCTTTCAAGCAAGGGAACCTTTACCTTTACCTTTTCCCTGTGCATAATCAGGGTCTCTTTCTCTCCAGGGACTGCTGCAAGAAAGTAATCCCTCCTAAAGCATGCTACGGAGATCTCATTTTCCAGGGCTAGTCCCCAAATTCCAGTTTAAATTCCCCTACATGTCATTTCCCTACCTGATCCTAATTATTGGTCCCTCTAGCTCAGCAACGGTTGCTGTGTCTTCAGTGTCTTGGGCAGAGAGGGTTTTTTTCCCCGAATGGATCCTTAGCTGGAGATGCCAGGGATTGAACCGGGGAGCTTCTGCATGCAAATAATGTTCTCAGAAATCTGACTGAGAAAGGCAATTGCAAGTTTGGGAGGGGGCGTGTTCAGCAGCCCAGTCTGAACAGAGCTAAGCTTGATATTTTAGTAAAAAGGCCATTTCCGGGAGCAATTGAGATGTGACCGAAATCTCTTCTGTGCAATTACCTTCCGATGGTCGCTTTTTCCAGTGAGCTACAATGCAAGCCTTTGGGGGGAAGAAAAATAAAGACACATTGCTTTATCAGACATAAAATCAGCCATGGTACATTAAAGGCTTGCCTTCCAAGATAGAAAATTGTTTTTTAAAAAAAATCCTTAAAAAATAAACTCCCGTTTTTATTTTTGAATATACCTACTGTGCAAAGTCTCTACGCCGATCTGATTGGATGGAAAGGCAGCATGCCGTGCACAGAAGTCCTTTTCCATTCCCAGAAGAGCTGTTAAGAACATAAGAAGAACCCTGCTGGATCAGAACAGTGGTCTATTTAGTCCAGCATCCTGTCTCACACAGGGGCAAACCAGTTCCTCTGCATCATAGACAATTTTTAGGCAGCGGCCTAGAGCAGCCCCTTAAAAGGGTGCACCCCCCCCGGCCTGCTGCCCCACCCCTCCTTTGCCTTAACAGAGAGATGCTCCCCCCCCCAGGCACAACCCAGAGGCAGAGGCCGGCTCTAACCCCTCCTGGATCGCCCTGCAAGCTGCGCTGCACCGTGCCGCAGGGTCAGTCCAAACCTCTCCGGGGCCAAAGGATGGCCCCCAGCTGGCAATTGGGGGCCACCAAGCCATACACACCCTTTCGCCCACCCTTTGCCTCCTTCGCCTCCCCCCTTTCCCCGATTAGCAAACCAAGCGTCGCGGAACTTTTAAACTTCCTCCTGCTGCTGCTGCTGCAAGAAGCACTCCAAAGGTGAAGCAGCATGGCCGGGATATTGCAGCAGGTCGGATTTTTATTTGGGGCAGTGGTCGTGGATTGCAGCCTGCCTTGGAGCAGGGCCTGGGGACCCTGGCGAGCCATGCTCTCTGGAGCAGAAAAGAGCCTGGGAAGGAAACCCACCCCCCACCCCCGGGCAAAGCAAGGCGGCAGCTGGGAGTTTGCAATGCTCTGCAAGGAATTGCAATTGCCACCGCTGGGCATGCAAAGACGCGGGGGGGGTCCCGCGGCGCCATGAGGAGCAGCCTGGAGCCAGCCCTGCCAGTGGCCACCAGTGGGGGCAGTTCTCATGCCTTTCCTCCCCTCCTCCTTTTCCTTCAGTGGAAATGTCATTAATATTTCTTTCTGGTTCTCAAGGACAGCTAGGGAACTTTCGAAGGCAAGGGAGGTGAAGGGGGAAGCCAGGGGGTGGGGGTGGGCAGAGGAACGAGATTGTAAATAAAACGAACAATGAGTGTTTTTCAAAGAAAGAAATCGACAGAAAAGGCTGGTGGAATAGAATTTCTACCTTTGTACCTTTTTGCTTTTTGCAGAACCCCGGTGTTGACTTTGGAGACGTTTCGGAAAGAATAGCTCTACGGCAACGGCTTCAGTGCCGGAGTTTTAAGTGGTACTTGGAGAACGTCTACCCTGAAATGAGGATTTACAACAATACCATCACTTACGGAGAGGTAATATAGGAGATCAAGACTGCATCACATCCCAGCATTAAAATATTGAGATTTTTTTTCCTTTGTGGATTGACTTTAGGAACAAGGCATAATAAGGTAGATGTTACTGGAACAACTTCCTTACGCTCAGTAAACTGGGGATACCTCTCCTCATCCAGATTTTGTTCTCGATTTTGGAGTACTGACTTACTTGGCCTTGTTTCTGAAGTGGACCCAATACATTTGGAGCCTTCCATTGTTCTGTTGTTCGTTTCCACATTTTAGAAAGAATGTCGTACATGACTGCCCTGATGTTGTATTCTCTTTCGTGGAAATGGCTTCGGCTCCCTGACCTTCAAAGCGAAGGCAGGTGGCTACCGATGCTCCCTCTAAGCTGTGGAGTCTTTTGAGCAGAAATTCTACTTTGGGAGCTACTGGCGTTAAAGTCATGAGCAAGCAGTTTGGCTGCTGCATAAATTACTTCGCTCTGGAGCCCTCCTTCCTGAGCGAAGACAAAAATCTGTGAGCTGAAGGCTAAAAAACTGTGATCTAGCTCACACTAACTCAGCTTAGAGGGAACACTGGTGGCTACAGTGGGCAGGGCCTTCTTGATAGTGGCACCTTGTATTTCTGTCTAGTACATTTTTTATCCCTTTCTTCCCTCCAAACAGCTCTGGGCAGCTTAGAGTGCTCAGTTCTCCCTTCTCCATAGGTACGTTAGGCTCAGAGAGAGTGACTGGCTATTTCCAAAATTCTATAATCCACTATTGAGTATTGAAAGATCGATGTTTTTGTTGACAGTTTTGTTCTCAGCTCACAACCTTCTCTTCTTTTGCCCAAGCCGTTTTAAGAGAGTGACTGGCTCAAGGATGCCCAGCAAGTTTCATGGCAGACTGCAGATTTGAAGCTGTGTCTCCAAGACACAAGTCTCATTCATTCATTCATTCATTCATTCATCTGGGCACTAACTCATTTTCCCCCTCCCAATGTGAACTCAGTAGCCAAAACCCAGATCCCATCAGGAGTTCCACCAGTGGGGCCAGATTTTGGAGGTGACAGAACTCTCCCTAAAATACATCCGTCCTTTCCAAGTTGGTGCACTCATATTCTAAGCCTGTGACTTCCCAACACAAACAATGCTTATAACCTATGAAGCTTGTAGGATCAGAACTGTCAAATTTCGAAGAAAATCCCCCCAATTGCTTATCTTGATGGGGTCCTGTATTCCACCACCACCCTTCAGTGCTTATTCATGCTTCTTGTGCCGTCTTAACCCTACAAAATGGGATAATCCTTTTCAATAGTGGTAACAACATCAGGGTTTCTTAGGACAATACTGAGCTGCCCTCCGTGAGGATGGAAGACAGGCATAAGCTTTCCAATAGCAGTATCCCAAAGAAGGCTTTTCAGCTCAGAAGCCCAAAGCCAGGTCAATTACAAATGGCTTTATGTTGCTTAGCTGCTGCCCAGATGTCAGTCCTCTGTCAGCAGACAAAAGGAAGGCCATTTAATGCTGGAAGCTTTTGAGGGCAGTGCCCAAGAATGGTAGAGTTTCAGGAAGATAGAAGAAAGAAAGTCACTTCCAGTTGATGCTCTAGGAATTGCCCCTGATCTCTGTGGTAAAGATGGCCATTCCACTGGCACTGTATACTTGTTGGCCTGTTAAAACATGGTAGCCTTGAATGAGCAGAACCACCAGAGGACCACAGGGGAGGACTGCCCCATAATGCATTGCATTTATCTGTTTGTTTATATCTAGGGTTGCCAGGTCCCTCCTGGCAAATGGCGGAGGGTTTACAGTTCTGGTCACTGTATCTCCAAAAGGACATTGCGGAGCTGGGAAAAGTACAGAGGGGGACCAACCAAGATTATGAGGGGGTTGGAGCATGTTCCCTATGAGGAAAGGCTGAGGAGTCTGGGACTTTTCAGTTAAGTGATGTCTAAGGGGGGGGGGACAGGATAGAGGTTTATAAAATTATGCATGAGGTGAAGATGGCCACTGTGTGACACAGAGTGTTGGACTGGATGGGCCTTTGGCCTGATCCAACATTGGCGTCTCTTATGTTCTTATGTTCTTAAGAGAGTTGCCAAAGATAAATGTTTCTCCCTCTCCCAAAATACTAGAACTCCTGGGCATCCAATAAATCTGATGGGCAATAGGTTTAGGACAGACAAAAGGAAATACTTCATTATACACAGAGTGATTAAAATGTAGAATTCATTGCCAGAGGATGTAGTGATGGCCACAGGAATAAGCAGCTTTAAAGGGGGATTAGATAGATTCATGGAGGGTAAGTCTATCAATGGCTACTACCCATGGTGGCTGAGAGGAACCTCCACCTTCAGAGACACTAAGCCTCTCAATCCCAGAGCCAGGAGGCAACATCAGGGGAAGGTCTCTGCCTCTCTGCCCTGTTGTTGGCCCTCCAGAGGAACTGGTTGGCCACTGTGTGAGACGGGATGCTGGAATAGATGGTCCACTGGTCTGATCCAGCAGGGTTCTTCTTATGTTCTTCACTGGAGGGACCTCACCATGGTCTAACCTGGAGGCTGGCACCCCTCCTGCCAAGCATGTATAAGCGTTCAGAGTGGATGCTCACAAACATGCAGGTGGGTTAGGATCAAGCGCAGCGGTAGCCCTCAAGTCTCTTTGTTAGTTCATCTTCCGAGTTGTTTCCCTCATGACCACCCAGGCATCGTCTGCCAGGTTTCCGCGAGGGGGACAAGTCACTACATCGAGGCAGGAATAAACCATATTGAAATAGTTGTAAAAATATATTTCCTTCGCAGTTTTTAAGGCTGAGTCGTAAAATTGCCATCATCCCTCAGCACTCTGAAGAATGCCGCTTAACTGTCGGCAGACTGTATTTGGCAGCAGCTTGGCATTACGTGCTGGGTTAGCTCAGTGTGCAGTGCACTGTTTGACAGAATCTATTACACTAACCGGGCAGGTGGGGAGGCTGAGGGGGGTCCCGAGACGTCCTTCAAAGGGGCTCACCATTCAGCCGTGTTTGACCTGGGAGAGTATAACGTCTCTCGGTTGGCGTAAGCAGCAAACATGGGACTGAGGCTCACGCTGCTCTCCTCACGTGCCAGGCCTGCTTGACACACAACACCACCTCCAGGTGCCTTCCTTAACCTTACCTCCCATTCCATTGTATCTGAAAAAGTGTGTGTGCACACCAAAGCTCATCCCTTGAGTAAACCTTTGCTGGTCTTCAGGGGTCGTTTCGTAGAAAAAGAGCTAGGGGAACTCATTAGCATAACTTATTAGCATATGCCACACCCCCTGACATCACCGGAAGTGTGTCATAAGGCCACACCCCCTGACATCACCGGACGTGTGTCATGAGGACACACACCCCGCCCCCAACGGCCGCCGGCAGCCTTGCAGCTCCACTGCCGAGCCCCATGAGGGGCCCGGCGGTGGACCTGCAATGCCGGCAGGAGTGCAAGGAAGCCCCGCGAAGGCCCTCCCTGGCCCCAGGCAGGCAGGGGTGGGGAGAGGCAGGGAGGAAGCAACTTACCCTCCCTCTTCTCCTGCCTCCTCCTGGCTGAATGAGGGCCGGAAGCAGGGCGGCCGGAAGCAGGGGGCGGGGCTTCGTCATGTGCCCCGCCTCCCATACCTCACCCGAGGGAACTGCGATCCCCCGCGATCCCCCCTGAAATGACCTCTGCTGGTCTTAAAGGTGCCGCTGGACTCTAAATTTGTTCTGCTGCTTCAGACCGACGCGGCTGACGGCCTGGATCCATCAGGAAGGTGCTGTTGATGTCAGTTCCCTTCCATTAGGTTGTTCTCCTGCTGTCTCAGCTAGGGATGTCAGGCGACCGCTACAGAGTTTTACAGATACTGCGGACCGCCAAAAAGACAGGTAGATGGGTTCCTGAGCAAATCAAGCTCCCTTGAATCTAAAATGACTACATTGAGGCTATCATATTTTAGTCACATTAGGAGGCCACATTCAGACTGGCAATTTGAAGCACTAGGGGGTCGTGGCAAAGAAAAACCGGAACAGACCCGGAACGGCTTGGTTGCGGTACTCCCATTCACACCGCAGCGAATGAAGTGGGAGGATACCGTGGAGGAATCGCAATGGAGCGTTCACACTGTTGGGCCGCCCTGGCGGGCTGTTAGCGGCTGTTTCCATGCTGGGCTGCATGCGCCCATGCGCATGGGCGCAGCAGCAACAAATAGGGCATGATCGCGCAGGCCCTGACGGTGCCTGCCTGTGGAAACAGCCAGTGCCTATTATCAATTACTGCGGGTTGTTCCCACCTTAGCAGCACTTGCGTTCACACTCAGGGAACGGGAATCGACCCGCTCTACACACGGTTTGCTACCACTTTCACCTGGTATCTTTTAAACTCGGGAGGGAAGCGGCACAAAACGGCTTGTGTACAGCTGGGGGACGCCTGACAGATGTGCCTGTGTGAACCCGCCCCTTTAACCCAGTACTGAACCCCTACTGAAACATTTGGCTGCCGGGCCAAACTGCCAGTCTGAACTCGGCCATAGTAGACAAAAGTCACTGGAAGAGACGATAATGCTAGGAAAAACTGAAGGCAGAAGGAAAAGAGGACGATCCAGCGACAGATGGATTGACTCCATCAAGGGCGCCACGAGGGCCCTCGGTTCCCAAGACCTGAGCAAGGCGGTTAACGATAAGACATTTTGGAGGTCATTGATTCATAGGGTCACCATAAGTCAGAAGTGACTTCAGAGCACTTAATGCACACAGGGCTGCCAACTCCAGGTTGGGAAATTCCTGGAGATTTGGTGGGTTGGAGCCTGGGGGGGGGCTTGGGGAGGGAAAGGGCCTCGACAGCGCAGCATGCCTGGGAGTCCACCCTCCAAAGCAGGCGTTATCTCCGGGGAAACCGATCTCTGTCTGGAGGTCAGTTGTAATTCCAGGAGATCTCTCCAGGCCCCACCTAAGCTGTGAGCCGGGTTTCATTTACAATTTTTTTTTTGCTGTATGTTTATGTTGTAACATTGATTGTTAAATTTATTGTCTTTAAGA